GGGGGGGGGGCGGGGTGTGCGATCTGAGAATAAGATCCAAATGTTATCCACCTTCAAGGTCCAACATGGTGGTTATTCAATTTGCATTAGGTTCACAACATTTCACCAGTGAGTCCTGATCCCATTTACACGTGTCAGAGTTTAGAACTCGAATGAGGTTACATTATCCCATCGACGAATGCCATCAGTTGTCATTACTCATTAATATGCTTTACTATGTCACAGACAGCCACTCAAGTTAGGGTTTTTTTTTGTTCTTTATTTTTCTTTGCCTTTGTGGGTTTACTCGTGGTTTGTTTGGGCTGGACATTTGACGGTTTTGACCATGTGATGCTTTGGTTGGTTGCAGTCCTGTGTTTCTATGGAGCAAAAAGAACTACTTGAGGAGCTTGCTGAATCTGTGACTTCACCTATGCCCTAACCTGTTGATGGGTGATCATCTATGTTTGCTTGATGGTCTTATCGAAGCCAAAGCCCCTCATTTACAACACACTGCAAGAAGTAGGACTCTGTACAGCGAACTTCTCAGAGTTACGTTGACATGCATATGTACTATTATTTCACCAGGTATCATTTGATTTTTGTTATATTTATCTAGTTCAGTCTGTAATTATATCCTTTTATCATTTACTTATCTTTTCAAAAATATACTTGATGCCAGCATAAAGCGTCATTCCCATGTATAACTGTGTTAGTGTTAATTGGGCAATCCCTATGAGTGATTTGAGGAAAAATTTCACAAAAAAGTTCATTATAGTTTATCTTCAGTGTCTTGTATATTTAGACTATTTATATTCAGCAAGAAATGGGGTTAGCCACAAAAGAAAAAGGGTAATTGTCGTTGGACATTGGACCATTTGTTGAGTAATTTTTTGGCCACTTTTTAGAATAACAATTTCAATTGCAAAGAGGACGAGAACACCTGTATCCAACTGATCAAAGGTTTTTAGTGAGATTGTCCTTGTTGATGTAAGCTCTATTTTGGATATGGCGATTTAATCGCCATACCAAACCGCTCTACTCTAAAAATGGTATTTTCATGGTGTGTCACGCGTGTGCGTGTGTCTGAAGCTTGGAGCTACACCTCAAATTTCATTGGAAAATATAGTTCTAGCATTGGTGTGCTGGCAAATTCACAAATCACAATAGACGATTAGGGATCATGGATCTAAAAAGAGAAAATATAATCGAAACCATGAAAGTGGTCCATTTTGCAACATATCTTTGGACAGTTCATTTCAGATCTTAATATATACGAGGGATTTCTGCCATATTTGGGGCATTGAATTCCAGAAATCATGAGTGCAAATGGAGTGGCTAGCCGATAAAAGACTTTTTGGTGCCAAATTTTGTTGATTTTTTATATAATTTTGAGGTGCAGTTTTACCATATTTTATAAAGCAAGGGGCCTTGCCAAAAACCCAGGAGGTTTCTAGAGTTTCTTGAAATTTATAAGGAGAGAGAGAGAGAGAGAGAGAGTCGCCTTGTTAAAAAAACAAATAATGTCCGTATGATTTAGAACCAGTTGTGTGCCCTCACCAATATATGGCAAATAACGATTGTTCAAACCTAACAGTCTAACCCATATGGAACTTAAAATAATAAAAATAATATTATTACTTAAAAGGAGATTAAAAGGATATGTATCTAGAGGGCATAATCTTATACTCAATAAGTGAATTGCACCTCAAAAAACTCACTGAAAAAAGTTATTATCATACTGGAAAATTCTTCAATTGATGTTCTTGATGATGAAATGTATAGATATTAAATAAAAAGAATATTGAGTCTTAAAAATAATGTATTTTGTAATGTATTATCTTGATAACCTATTTCCAAGATTTCAAGTATTTATGGATCTATTTAATGCATACTGTTTTTAGCTTTTAATTTCATAACCAGTGTTGGAAAATACATTTTCAAATCATCACAGTGATTTTTGGTACCAAATTTGCATCTTCCGACAAAGTATGGATGTGCATCTTACTTCTATTCAAGATTGACATCTTATTAAGATCGCCGGAAAAAAAAAAGAAAAAAAGAAAAAGGATACTATAGCACTTGTTGCGCGACTACTAAAGCAGTATAAGGGATTCGTCCAAAAGGAAAATAATGAGGTCACTTTTTTCACGCTCTTTTTTATCTCCGTAAGCGAGCAGCACGTGCAGTCCAGGTCCGATTTACCTGGACCAATCCAAAATTGGTTTAGTCTTGATCCTGACCCGACCCTGACCCATTTGCATCGTGTAGACACGTTGATATTTTGCGGGAGCAAATATTTATTATAGGAAAACGGCCTTAAAATATTCAATTTTAATATTCTAATTGTATACCCACTGCCCAACTATTTCTTGTGGCGTGCGGGTATGCCGGCAGTACGGTGTCCTTTCAAAATAGAGAAAACTTTATATAGAACCGAGGTTCTAAACAATCAAGTTTGTGCCTACCTCAAAAATTTCACTAGAAGATATTGTTTTGATGGAAAAATATCTTCAAATTGATCATCTCCACATCAAGATGCATAGACATGAGAAAAAAAATGGATTTCAAGTTTTGAAAATAGTATATTTTGTTATACATTTTTGGCCTGTCAATTTTCAATATTTTCAAGTTTTTATAGATATGTCTAACTACACTCTTTTTGAAGCTTTAAATTTTATAAATAAGGATGAAAATATATTTTTAGGCTATCACAAAGATTTCTGGTGTTGAAACTACATTTCTTGATACTATTTACAGGTAGGCTCGATTGTTTAGAGCTTAGGCTCTATACAAATTGTACCTTGCAAAATACCCGGCAAAATATTTGAAATACATAAAAGGGAAAATTGTAATAAACCTCAAAAAAAATAGACTTTCTAATCAATTTACCCCCAACCAAACTTTTTTTTAGCAACTTTTTCTCCAAAAATGGATTTCTAATCAATTTACATCCAACCTAACTTTTTCTAACAGCTTTTTCCCCAAAACCATGTTTCCTAGCAAATACTCCCTATTAAAAAACAGACTAAAATACCCCTCACTTACTTCATAGGTTGACTATGGTGGTCCGGCGCTTAAGTCACTGATTTGGAATAGTTTGGCACTTCACCATGGCAGTTCGGCACTTCATCATGGCTGTCCGGAGTTTGGAAGAGGTGGTTCGGCATTTGTTTCTGGATTAATGAGCAGTCCGGCATTTGTGAGCTACGGTTCGGCAAAATTGAAAATTGTGTTTGGAATAGGCGGCCCAGCAGTGTACAGTTCCGGTCTGGCAATATACAACCGCGGTCCGACTTTTCCTTTTATTGCGATCCGAATATGCTTTGTTATGTACAGGAAGGGTATTTTTGTCAAAAAATGAACTTTTTGTATTTAGGGTATTCGCTATAAAACTTAATTTTTGAGAAAAATAAGCTAAGAAAAATTAGAGTGGTATAAAGTGCCTAGAAAGTTTATTTTTGGGGGTTTTATGCAACTTTCCCTATTTAAAAAGTAAAATATTAAACTGTTGGAGAATATCGTATATTTTGAGAAAGGAAATAGTTTATAAAAAGTTCATAAAGAGTCGAGGCTCTAAACAATAAACTTAGAGCCCACATCAAAAATTTCACTAGAAAAGATTGTTTTGATGCTCAAATAACCTCAAATTGATCCACTCGACATCAAGATGCATGGACATGAGAAAAAAATAGATTTCAAATTTTGGAAAGAGTGTATCTTATAACGCATTTTTGAACCATCAATTTTCAAGATTTCATAGATTTGCTCAATCTACAGTATTTTTGAAGCTTTTAAATTTTATCATTAAAGATGAAAATATATTTTAAGGCTATCACAAAGATTTTCAATGTTGAAATTACATTTGTCGATACTATTTGCAGGTGTGTTTTACTTTGATTATTTAGAGCCCCAAACGGTGTGCTTTACTTTGATTGTTTAGAGCCCTATACAAACCTCACCCTTTGAGAAATAAAGAAAAATAATTTGATAGGGCTGAAATCCACATAAAATTGCAATTCTGGCATGAGATAACCTTCACCTCGATTAACTTGGCTTTAACCATTATTGTTGTGAAAAAAAAAAAAAAAAAAAATTCAAACCCTAAAAATCGTGTATACTATTACAAGTTATTTAGGCCATCCGTTTCACCTTATAAATAATTTTCACGAATTTGTAAAATTCGTACCATTTTTTGAGATTCAAAATTTATAGTCGATAATAGAAAATGATTTTAAAGCATCATGAAGATTTTTAATGCCCCAATTACTTTATGGATGAAAATTCAAGATTTCGTAAAGCCCAGGCCTTATAAAATCTGCATGCTTTTATAAATTTGAATGAAGTTTCTACAAGGCTTAGGTTCGATAAAAATAGAATAAAGCCTCATCTCAAATCCTTATCTGGAAAGCACTTTCATAACCAAAAATCTCTATGATGACTCTAAAATCAATTTTCAAGACCAACAAAAAAATTTGAAACTAAAAAATGACACAAATCTATTTATTCCGCATAATTTGGAAAATGAAATGGTGTGGGAGGTGGAATCTGTTCAATTTTATGTGAAACCAGTCTATAGACTTCTATTCCATTACCATTGGCATTGGTCCTTATCATAGATTGTAATTATTTGGAAATGACCTATTTCTCACAAAGTTTAGGTTTTCATTTGGAAGCATGAAAACAGTGTAATCGGAGAGCTTTTGAGAGTTATGTGTTATCTTTTGATAGAGTTCTTAATAATATTCATCATATCCTCTAGTGTTGGTTATCGATTACTAAGGAGGGATGAGGTATCTCGGAGATGGATGTCATTCTCAATCTCTCAAATTTATTCCGAATAGGTGTCGTTAAATGTTGCCCTAAAGGTAGATGGATTCCCGTTGTACTAGCTTGTTTTAATCTTTTGATGAAAGTTCATTTGGTAATCATGGTCAGGCGGATATTGGGGGTTATTAGAGATTGGAATGGTAATGTCATGTTTTCTTTTGCCGGTCCCAATGGAAGCTTATGCATTTTCTGCTATTCTCCAAGGTTTGAAGCTCTTTATTGGCATAAATTTGGGAACTTTTGCAATGTCGAAGAATACTCTTTGAATGTTATTCGATGGTGTAAGAAGGAATAGAAAGTCTCTTGGCAGCTGAAATCTACATGGCTACAAGTTTTAGAGTTGGAAGAGAATCAAATGAGCTCGCAAATTCTTTGGCAAAGAGAGAGGCTTCATTACCCTCGTTGTTGGTATGTAATGATGTAATTTTCTAATTGTAATTTTATTCTATCAATAAAGATTTTAACATTGGTCTAAAAAGAAAGAAGATAAAAATCTTGCGGATCTATGAATACTTATTTTTAGAGCAAAATGAACGGCCTAGATAATTTATTGCAATATATACTATTTTTGGAGCTTTAACTCCTAACTTTTTTTTCACAAACATAATGCTCAAGCCGAGATGAACAATCTAAAAGTTTTTCAATGATTGAATTGCAATTTTCAATGAATTATGAGGTGAGGCTTTACTTATTTTGATAGGGCTGCAGTCCTATCAAACTTTTTTCCTATATTTTAAGGGACTTCAATTTGCAAGCGCTCTCAATCTCCCATCGTGTATGAGGGCAAAAACATTGAAGGAAAGTTTGGGCGGTCTAATACGTAACCACCAAATTAGACCAGATTTCGTTTTGGTGAACGATCGTGTATTTTTTATTTTTTAAACAAAGTTATAAAAATAAATCTTAAAAAAAAGGGATTTTGTTTTAAATGTTTTTCATCATTATGTCAAATATTGAAAATTGTTTTGGTAATTAATACTTGTTTTTACATTTTCCTATCTTTTTTCAAAAAATTTCAAAAATACCTCTGGGCACAAATCGATTATTTGAATGGTACAGTTTGCATACGAACGCATCCGTAGGTGTAGAGGTAATGTGCACCTTCAAATTTTATCATGCTATATAATTTTGATGTAAAATGTCTTAGGATTATCTCAAAATCTATTTTTATATCTAATTATAAAGTTTTAAATTTCAAAAATAGTTAAAATCAAGTAAATCTATAAACATATAAAAATCTTGAAAATGGACTGTGTAGATAATATGTTGTAAAATGCACTATTTTTGAGACTTAAAATCTTTTTATTTTTTATAGTGATACATCTCGATGTCGAAATCATCAATCAAAGAGTTTTTTCAATTAAAACTGCCTTTTCTGATGGATTTTTGAGGGGCATCCGTAGTTTTACATTATAAGGTAGCATTCTTATATCATTTTTTTTATTTAAAATCTATTTTTCATTAATTTTCAATTTCATTTGGGTGTGGTTTGTTTAATTATTCTTTAAACATATTTTTTATATTTTATTAATTTTTTTTATATTTTTTTGACACTTTCTTTACTGCGTAGGACTTGCTCGGTTAAAACGGTTGTACGGTGATTTAACCCCTTTGGGGCCACGTCCAATTAATCTTTCTAGTTCGATTTTTGTTTGCTAAGGGATAAACAATCACGGAAAGCTTTCCATGTCACGGAAAGCTTTCCATGTTCCCCCTACAACATAGAAGTTCTATGTTTTCCTTTATCCAACCGTCCATTTTTGAATGGAGGGCTAAGATTGCCCCAATCACAATGTCACGTCTCTACATTATTTTATTTTTAAATTTTTTTCTATAAACTGTTTTGACACCAAATTTTGGATGTCTATTCTTATATTAAATTCACACTAACAAAAATAAAAAATTTTTTTTTAATAAAATAAAATGATCAAAACACTTTGAAAGTTTCGGTTATTATTTTTTATCGAAAAATTATTGTTAATATTTTTTATGGCATGTAATAAATTTCATATTAAAAAAAATTATATTAAAAAAATTAAAAATAAAATACTTTGAGATCTCGCATCTAAAATCAAACAGTGACTGTCTTGATAAAAAAATAAACGGCTGGATGGTAAGGAGATCTACGTTGTAGGGAGAACACAGAGCTTTCCCAACCAACACAAGCTACTGCCACGTGTCACTTAATATTCGATAGGGGCCTTTTTTTTCTCACACGTGTATGAAGCTGTTCCAAGTGTCGCGTAATCCGCCTCTCTACGCTCACTCGCACCTCACCTCTCTACTGGACTGGACTGGACTGGACTGGACTCGACTCGACTCGACTCCCTCTTTTCCTCGCGTCCATGTTTTGCAAACTTTTGTTGGTAGGTGCTCTTCAATCTGTCTGTGGAAAAGCCCTGAACCCCACCTCGCCGATATATCAGAAGCCACTTGTTTCTCATTTAATTCGTAAGGAAACCGCAAGATTCATTCATTTCTCCAAGGTCTCGGCCATGGCGGAAGGAACCAATATGCACAACCATGCCAATAGGCTCTCCAAAGAGCACAGTCCTTACCTTCTTCAGCATGCCCACAATCCAGTACGCCTCTCTCTCTCTCTCTCTCTCACCTTTACGGTTTTAGATATCCTATGTTCCTATGCATTCATCATTAAAGGCTTTTTATTTTTATTTTTTATTTTATTTTATTTTATTTTTATTTTTTATGGGTAGTAAAATTTCATGCATATCGAAGGATATGTGCTGTGTAATTAAGGGCGGTATCCATAAATTTAGTGGGGGCTTTGGGTTATCGAATGTGGTTTTATGGGGTTGAATTCAGTGTTTCAAAAAGTGCTAGGCGGCACCCAGACCCCCCAATGCTCGCCTCCATAATCCATAATCCATATTTCTACGAATGAGGAGAATTTAGATAGCCCATAATCCATATTTTCATAGTATAAACTAGAAAAGGAAAATAAGAAAATGTACATTCTACTACAAAGTAGTCCACACCAAGGGGAGTAGGGTAAGTCTCATAATATGTCCATCGTCAGAGTCATTTCCCTCTCCAACATAACACTCATTTTTTCTAAATCTGTTTCTTCCTCTTCTTCTTCTACTTCTCTCTTACTTTGTACGGCTCTAGGAGCCTACCTAGTGCCTCTTCACCCTTTTCTTTCGATTTCTGCTTCCTTGAATTCAAATATTATATAATCTCCTCCCTGATAGCCGTATTAGGAACATTGTTTATACGGGGCAATATTCCTTTAATATCGACAAGATATTTTTTGAACCGGTAAATAGTTCTATTAGTATCATTTTCTCAATAATTAAATTTAAGGGTTATGACCATATTCATCACCACTTCTAGAAGAACGAAGATATTTTCTTAGAACAAGGCTCATGTTTTTCTAGTGCTACTAAATTCAAATATTTTCTAATCTCATCTCAAATAGCGTAAGAAATCTTTTTACAAGAAGTAACATTTTCTTTAATACTAGCAAGGTGTTTCTTAAATCGATTAATACCTTCAATTAGTATTTTTTTTACAAAAATTACAACTTATACAATTTCTATCATTTGGTTTTGGGTTATAATCATACCTCCAACCCGGATCACTTTTTCTAGCAGAACTAGAAATAGATCTATCCAAATGACAAGGATTTTGTTCTGGTTTGTATTTTACTGAATTTATATATTGGTTAATCTCCTCTTTGATAGCTTCAGGAACATTTTTACAAAGGACAACATTCCCCTTAATACAGGTAAGATGTTTCTTAAACTGGTTTATGCCCCTTTTGTATCTCTTTTACAATAATTGCATCTTATGTAATTTTTGTCATTTAGATTCGGATTATTCATATTTCCAACCCCGATCACCACTTCGACTAGATTTTGAAGAAGACATCTCAAAATAATACAAGCAATCTAAAAAATAAAATTTTGCACTTATTTTGATTGCTCGAACTCCAAACTTCTCCCTCTGAGATATTTTTTGGTGCTAAAATCTTCAAAAACACCATCTAGTAGGCCTAAAAAAATTCCAAAACTAAATGTAATCTTAATGGGTGATATTTGGATCCAGTTCCTGTAACTTTGAGAAACATTTTGATCCATTGAAAATCACAAAATCTAGTTTTTTTTTTTAGGTTTCTCTTTCTAAAATGGGTTGTAGCGGATTTAAGTTTCAAATGAACTTAAAACCCACATTTAAAAACAATGTTTTTTTCAAAAAAACCCAAAAAAAGCCTCAAGTATTTCCACCCCTGGGAGGGGCGCAGGCCTTGGCCGCCTAGGGCCGAGTGTTGGGCGCTTGCCTAGTTTGGCCCGCTACGCCTAAGCGATTCACACAGGCCTTCTGGACCGGTTAGGTGCTGGGCGGTTTGCTTTTTAAATCACTTTATATTGCTCATTTGTGTTCATTTGAATGTAACATTCGATATGTTTGTTTTTCATGTTGAACAGTTAACTAAAGTTAGAGATGCAGGTAACTTTTATTGGTAAATATTAATACCTTCTTAATTATAGGTAGTTGCCTTTATTATACAGGTATTATATGTCGGAAGCTTATTATGCTAGGTGTTATGAAGATAAATGTGCTCTTATAAATTGAATGAATTTTGAAATATAAGCCTTTTCCCAATTTCATTCAAGGATGTAGTAATGTAGTCATAATTCTCTGGTGTCAATATATTTTATTTTATTTTTTGGGGAAATTCTTTGGTCTTAGCTCTTTAAGTTAAAATGTGCAATACTTTTGCTGCTTCATTTGAGCATTACTTTTGCTTTTTCATTTAGGTTGACTGGTACCCTTGGGGAGAGGAAGCTTTTCAAAAAGCTCGGTCTAAAGGCATGCCTATTTTTTTGTCGAGTATGTAATATGCTAGACTTCTTGCTTCAATTATCATTTGAAATGTAGCTGCAAAATTTGGTTGATTCTTATTCATTTGGTAGAGCATTTCTGAAATTTTTTTTTTTTTTTTCTTATACCTCATTTTAGTTTTTTGATTTCTTCATGGGTTTTTTTCTCATCCATTGTTCGTGTGGGTGCTCTTTGTGAAGTTGGATACAGCACATGTCACTGGTGAGTGAAGGGTGGGATTTCTCACTTTATTTGATCTTCCATTATTGCATTATTGTTGTTGTTATCGTCGCCCCTGTCGTTGTCATTATTATTACTACTATTATTATTGCTATTATTATTATTATGTTTGGATATTCTTTAAGATGATTATATGGTTTTCTTCATTTATTATGTTATACTTGATCCCCCATTGTGTATCTGACGTACTCCAGACTCTCCTCCCCCCCCTCTTCTCCGCACAGGGTTCTCTCTCTTTCTCTGTAATTGTGTGTGTGTGCATGCACAAATGTAGTTTTGTTTCATGACTCATCATGTGTGCATGTTATATTTGACTCATCATATGTGCATGTTATATTTGTTTCTCCTGAGTATCTTTTTGAGATTCCCTGGTGTATCCTTCCTTTTATATTGAGGTATTTTGTTGCTATATTGTTGTTTAGGTTCCTGAATATAATTAAAGCTCGATCCTCTTGATTGACAATTATGGTGTAGGTGCCATGTTATGGAAGTAGAATCATTCGAGAATGAAGAAGTCGCAGAGATGCTGAACGATTGGTTTGTTAGCATCAAGGTGAATACTGCTAAAAGCAGTTCCTGAAATGCGTATGAAGTTTGACTGTTACCATTTTCTTTACAATTATATCAAGTAAATATTCAAGTTTTTAATTCAAGTTTTTATTTGAATTTTCTGATGAATATTTATCTGTCGTCCAAAATTTCCTTTGACACTTAAATATTGATGATTGCAGGTTGACCGAGAAGAACGTCCAGATGTTGATAAGGTGAGCAACTTGTATTCTATGAATGATTGGCTTGACCTGCCTAGGGTTCTTTTTTGTGGAAGAGTTTTTCTTTTAGTAGCTATATGTTCTTTGATAAAAAGCACTTGGAAGTTGTTTCTGCATTGTTCATTCTCAAAAAAAAAAAAGAAAAAAAGAAGTTGTTTCTGCATTGTTGATTTATATTAACAACCATCCCATGGAAGATTCTAAAACCATGATCCCTTTTCTCACGAAAGCCCATTTCTACCTATGTTTCAGAGTGCTAGATTCAATAAAAAAATAATATGCGGTATTCCTAGCAAGGAAAAATTACTACGGTGTCATCATAGAGTTCCAAGTATGCATACTTATACTAGCTTGCTGTGCTTACTCTTACTTGTCCGTTAGCCTCCACTGTATTTGACCATTTTTATGCTAGAAATTGTACAAGTCTGATGTTTTCATGATACCCCACTCGACGGCCATGGAGTAGGGGATGCTTCCAGTTTTTAGATGGTTCAGCCTTGAGTAGTGATTTCACCTTTCAATGCCTGAAAAGGAGAATGTATTTTAGATGGGCTAATATGTTTTTACTTTGTAGGTCTACATGACTTATGTGCAAGCTGTGTATGGAGGTGGTGGATGGCCATTGAGTGTCTTCCTTTCCCCTGATCTGAAGCCTTTGATGGGTGGAACGTATTTTCCTCCTGATGACAAGTATGGGCGACCAGGTTTCAAGACAGTACTCAGGTAGAGATGCCATACTTTCTATTTTATTGGATCTCTTGCTACTGCTTTGTGCGGTAGCTTAACTCTTGGTGATGCATTCCTTTGTGTATGTGCAGGAGAGTGAAGGAAGCTTGGGATACTAAGAGAGACATGCTCGAGCGAAGTGGGATTTCCACTATTCAACAGCTTTCGGATGCTTTATCTGCAACTGCTAGCTCTGACAGCTCGGATAGGGCACTACCCCAAAATGCTATCCAACGATGTGCTGACCAGGTAAATCTTCATCATATCAATATTAAGTAAATTGTTCTTCCCTTCACATTTAGTTGATAATTGTATGAATAACACTAAAAAAATCTCTGCTCTTCCAGCTTGCAAAAAGTTATGATGCAGAATATGGAGGTTTTGGGTCTGCACCAAAATTCCCTAGGCCTGTGGAAATTCAGCTATTTCTTTATCAGTCAAAGAGACTAGAGGAAAGTGGGAAGCCTCATGAAGCAAAAAAAAACTTAGATATGGCTTGTTTTAGCTTACAATGCATGGCAAGGGGTGGGATGCATGAGCATATCGGAGGGGGGTTCCATAGATACAGTGTGGATGAGCGTTGGCACGGTGAGATACTCAGAATTCATGGTTTCCCCCTGTATGTCTACCATTGTTTCAGTTGACTATTTTCTTTGGACATATCGATTAGCTCTGTTTTAAGGTTCAGAAATCTTCTCTCTTTTTATTTATTTATTTATTTGCAGTTCCACATTTCGAGAAAATGCTTTACGATCAAGGACAGCTTGCCAATGTTTATTTGGATGCATTCGAAATAACAAAGGATACCTTTTATTCATCCGTGGCCCGAGATGTTCTTGACTACTTGAGGAGAGATATGATAGATGCAGGAGGAGGGATTTATTCAGCAGAAGATGCAGATAGTGCAGAGTTTGAAGGCGCATCAAGGAAGAAAGAGGGCGCCTTCTACATCTGGACAAGTGAAGAGGTTTCTTGCTGTCGTTTTATGACACTTGATCATAGTGAAACTGCTTTACTATGTCTCAATGTAGAGATGTTAAGTTTGTTGTATGAGTTTGCAACCCAATGGTTTGACCTTGTGCTACCAATGTATTAAAATGATTTTTATTTACTGGCATAGGCTTTGCTTTGGTGATTTTGAACTGCTTGTTAGGTAAGAAGTTTCTCAATAGGAAAAAAACTGTTTGTTAGGAGGGCACTTAAGATGAATGCTATTCAATGCTCATTTGGAATTTCATATTGCTCATTTCTAAGACTAGGAAAGATATTGCAAGTGGATTGAGGCTGTGGAAATTAGATATAAAAGGGACGAAGAGATATTTAATTGTTTGCTAGTGTAAGAAATTATTATTTTAGGCACTAAGTTTCAGAAAGAAACTCCTTTTGCTGACTCATCCTCCTGAACTCGCACCACCTGGTCCCGACGTTATCCTTGAATATTGGCTAAAGTAAAAAACAAAAAAAAAGGCTAATGGGAATGAATCTCTGTCAGAAGATAAAAATTGGTAACTCCATGTCCCTGAAAACTCTCTTGAGGTCTATTTTGACAGATTTGAGTAGCAGTAGGCATCTAACAAGGATCCTGCACCCGACTTTGCTAACCACCTCTTCCAATCAATTTCTCTGGTTGAATGGTTTTAATTGTTTCGTAGATATTAAGAGGTTGGAGTATTCAACGTGTCGCACTGAAGTATAGCCAAACCAACGCATATAGAAAGAAGATGAATACCAGGGAGATTTCCCATGATAATGTCATAGTTGTCGTATACAAGGTACTGGTATTCTGCAGTCTGAATCAGCTTGCTTATTGTGTTTCTTTTGGGGCATTGAAAAGTACTGAATTGCCAATGCTCCAATTAAATGTAGAAAATAGGGCGTGGCTTTGAGATAGGGCTGCTGGTGGTTAACATGTTGCTAGTTAATCACAGCTATTTGCTAGTATCACAAGAACAGCATACTGTAGCTGCTGTAGATATATAAAGTTGAGTTATTAACAGATGAAATTATCTGCTGCCAAGGTCAAAATATTTGCCCCTTAGTGCTACTTTTGGTTGGTACTGTCTATTTTAGAGTTGATTAGTGCATTTATTATATAATCCTGTAACAAGGATGATGGAATATACTAACAGGTGAAACAAGACCCCAAACTGATGCTATTTTATGTCTTACTTTTGTTCTCTTAAGGTTGATGAAATACTTGGAGCACATTCAGCCTCTCTCTTCAAGGACCATTATTATGTAAAACCTGGTGGAAACTGTGACCTTTCAAGAATGAGCGATCCCCATGATGAATTCAAGGGGAAAAATGTGCTGATCGAGAGGGAGAGTCTTCCTGAGAGAGCTTCAAAGCTGGGAATTTCAATAGATGAATACTCTGATATTCTTGGAACATCTTGTCAGAAACTCTTTAATGTGAGATCAAATCGACCACGCCCTCACCTAGATGATAAGGTATATTGTTTGCTTCAGAATACTCATGCTCGTTGGGAACTACAGTGCACAGTGCTTGTCGTAAAGGAAATATGGGGTTGCATAGCTAATCCATGGGAAAGGGGAAACTGGGGTGATTGGAGTCACCACCTTGATGGATGGTGATAAAAGAGGCCCCGCCAGAACAGGATATGACCCCAAAGGTGGTTTTTGCTCTCTCTCCATCACCGTCCATTTTACTGGTCAGTGAAGACCCCAACAGGCTATGGTTTTCCGTCATCCATGTTATCCATGTCATTATACTTTCTTCGTGGATCTTGTATTCCTGAACTGGAGCTTCATTTGCCCCATGTTGATCTTTCCAAAGGAGATGAATGGGGTCATAATTAACACATACGGGATACTTTACACAAGAAAAGAAACAAAACCAGCACACCGTCAGATTCTATCATGGTTGTGTTGCATTTTAATTTCCTTCTTACATGCTTATTTCTGCTTTATTTAACATCAATTACTTGCTTAGGTAATTGTTGCGTGGAATGGACTTGCGATGTCGGCTTTTGCGAGAGCCTCTGTTATTCTCGAGGCAGAACCTGAAGGAACCAAATTTCACTTCCCTGTAACTGGCTGTGACGTAAGTTTGTTATACTTACATGTGTTATCGTGATTTTGCATTGAGACATATTTCATGTATAGTTGAGGCCCTCCTAAGGATCTTACTGACGGTTTTGTTTGTAATCACTTGTCTTGTGTTGCATAGAGCCCTTGGTAATAAAAAGAAAAAAAATCATAAATCACAACCTTTTTTGTTATAGTAAAACTTGTATTTGACTTGCAGCCGAAGGAGTATATGGAAGTTGCCGAAAAGGCAGCATCTTTTATCAGGAGTAATCTTTACATAAAAGAGAATCATAGGCTGTACCATAGCTTCCGCAATGGTCCATCAAAAGCTCCAGGATTTCTAGATGATTATGCATTCTTGATTTCTGCCCTTCTAGATATGTATGAGTTTGGAGGGAGGACTGAATGGTTATCATGGGCAATCGAACTTCAAGCTACACAGGTAGATGGCTTTTAAATTTTGATCATCTCTGTAGGTGGCTATCCTTGTGTATCGTAGATATCTTATGTCTTTAATTAACTGATGAGCTGATTTCGAGATAGTCAATGTATTTTTTCAGTGCTCCTTACCCACTGTTATACTTCAAAAATGACAAAAGATGGATTAGAAAAGACATTATTCCATAAGTTCAATCAAGATACATATCTTGGTCATTCCTTTAAGGGTCACAATTGGAAAATGATTGTGTTATCTCATAATCATGTACATTCCTTCCCAGTGGATTCATTTTGCCGTCAATTTCTGTCTTTGAAAAGCTGCACATTTTCTATAATATGCATCATATTGAATATCTGGGAAAATTGTATTCGAGGCTTAAATAATGAGCTTTAATGGTTTAATTCGTAGTTATTATTGTGGAAGGTAGTGATGAGATGCTTGTTGGATCCTCTCTTTAGGATGAATTATTTCTCGACAAAGAAGGTGGAGCATATTTCAACACCCCAGGTGAAGACCCGTCGATCCTTTTGCGTGTGAAAGAAGATTATGATGGTGCAGAACCCTCTGGAAACTCAGTTTCCGCCATTAATCTGATAAGATTGTCTTCAATGGTTGGTGATGACTTGTCCACCTACTATCGACAGAATGCGGAGCATCTTCTGGTATTGCCATTCTCTTACTACTTCCGACATAATGCAGAGCTTAGACTTGATACAGTAGTGTTGAATGAGCTACTGCTTAATTATATGCTTCTCTAACATAAACTGAACGATACAAAATTGCATTCATTTACATACGCTATTGTATATCATAATCCATTTGGCAAGAGGAGATCACGATCAACCATGGTCCTCAGATGTGAGAGCTGGTTGCTTGGGGTGTGTTTTCTTTTGGACATGAAGCCTGGTCTATGAAACCCCAAGTGCATGCTTTCACATCCAATGCCAAGGTCGACTGTGACAGACTTGTACCAATAGGTAAATGATCTTATGAACTTCATATGTACTTTTCGTCTGTATGCATCTCTCTCTCTCTCTCTCTCTCTCTGAAGAAATGTCTGTGAATTGTGTATTAGGCGGTGTTTAATAAGAGGTTGAAGGAGTTTCCCATGGCTGTGCCCCTTATGAGCTGTGCGGTGGATATGCTTGCATACCCTTCCCGCAAACAAGTGGTTCTTGTTGGTGACAAAATGCTCCCAGAGTTTCATGGCATGGTTAGGGCAGCACATGCTACGTCTGATCTGAACAAAACTGTGAGTCTCTCTCTCTGGTCATCTTTGATTTCGACAAATGCAAATGAGATGCATTAGTTATTCTGGAATCTACTTAGTATCACATTTTGTGGTCGGCATCTCTGGATTTGATCCGACTGTCTTTAATACTAAACTTGTGTGTGTGTGATTCTTCATGTACATAAAAGACGTAGTGATTCAATAATTAGTTCTTTCACTCATTGGTGATAATCTCTGTGCCATCTATAATAACGGAGAACTTTGGATAGTTGCTGAAACTGAGACAGTCTAATTCATTTTGCATGAAATTGACTCTGCAGGTGATTCAGATTGATCCGAGCAACAAGGAGGATATGGAGTTTTGGGAGGCCAAGAACCAGAGCATTGCATTAATGGCCGAGAAGAGCCCTAAAGTTTCCAAGGCTGTGGCTCTTGTGTGCCAAAATTTTACTTGTAGTGCTCCTCTTGTTGACCCAGATGCTCTTAGGGAATTACTCTTGCCACAACAAATGGCCATCTGATGGTTTGCTTCTGTATGTATTCATGTGTGACATGTGAATGACTTGTGTAAAGCCACCAGTGAGTCTGGTATGTAAATTATGCAATGCATCCCGCCCCAGAATCTCCTGTGCACCTGAGTTCATTGTCCAAGTGGAGGGAAGCCGTTATGAAAACATAATTTTCTTCAAAAAAATAAAATCAAGTCTATGATTGAAAGACAATATTTTTTTTTTTAAATTCCAATTTCATGAAATCCGTGGTTAGTAAGTTTATGATTAAAACACAATTTTTTAAAAACCATTTCCGATTTCATGAAATCCGTTTGGTACTTTTTGAGTTTTTAAAAAGATTTTCAAAAAATTGTGTTGATTTTAATGGAAATAATATAAATCTGTATTTTATATTTTTCAAAAAAAGGTTTGTAAAAAAATTATTTTCTTCATTGAATTGACCTTTTTGGGATGTTGGTTCAGAGAAATATATTAAAAGTGAGATTAAATTAAGAATCTTAATTTAATAAAAAAAATTATACAAATTTTTTTTGTTTGAGTATATTTAAAAAGTATAATATATTCTAAAAAACTAGTCTAAGTTTGAGGAATAGCAATCACTTGATTATGTTCTCTTTCTTTAAACACAAAGCATCAAAATAATGTTCTCTTTCTTTAAAGCCAAAGCATCAAAATAATGAGCAAGAGACACCAGTGCCAAACTAAAAATTTTGGATAGCCAGGAATTCATGGTAAAGTTCGAAGATTAAGTTTGCTTAAGCATTTTGTTGGTTTCTTACGATTAATTTTATCTTTGCAAACTTTTGTTATTTTATTGGTATAATACGAAGTATTGTACATAGATCACTGTATTACATTTTGGGGTTTTTTGTATTTTAGTTGAGTAAAATATTTACATGAGGATGCGGCCCTAAACAATCAAATTGAGGCACACCTCAAAAATTTAGTGGAAGAGGTTTCATGTAATGTGTTTCCGGGACTGTTGATTTTCAAATGTTAATAAATCTATTCGAACTATCTTATTTTTAAAGTTTTAAAATTTATAATTAGGGATAAAAATAAATTGTTAGGCAATCACAAATATTTCGGAGCATCTTTTGACACTATTTAAAGGTTTAAAGGTGTACTTTGATTGTTTAGGACTTCAGCCTTATGCAAATCATACATTTTAGTTAATTATAGTTCTATATTGAGGGCTTCTTGTTATTCACTAATAGTACGTGTTTAATATTGTTGTTTAATTATACCAATAAGTCTATTATACCAAGGGAAAAGTTTATATAGAGCCGAGGTTTTAAACAATTAAATTTGAGCTTACTTAAAAATTTCACAAGGTTGTTTTGATGCTCAAATATTTTCAAATTGATCATCTCCGCATCAAGATGTATGGACACGAGGAAAAAATAGATTGTAAGTTTTGAAAATAGTGTATTTGCAATGTATTTTTGGACTGTCAATTTTCAAGATTTCCAATATTGAAAACACATTTCTCGATACTATTTGAAGGTAGGCTCTAATTTGATTGTTTAGAGCCTAGGCTCTATACAAACCGCATCCACCAACCAATAAGCCTATCATGTTTGGAAAATTGCTTCATGCGGGCTGGATTGTATTTCTGCAATATGCAGTCTAGAGGTATGAAGCATCCATCTTTTAAGTAACGATCCAAATGTTTTTTTAATATAAATATTATTTCTAGTTTTCAAATTATATTTTTCTTTTTCATATTCATGTTAAAGATTATATATTCTCTTAAAATTAAGATCAAATTATATTTAAAAATATATTTGTTGCCAATCCCGTATTTTTACAATATATGGGTCGGGTTGGCCGCATAAAAACCGTGTCCATCATCTTTTGCATCGTGACAATATATTAAGCAATGTTATATTCATTGAAAATTTAGACAAGTCGTCAAGCATTACCTTAATGAAGTAAGAAGATAAAATTATTGTTCAATAGCTGTAATTATCCATAGAATTACTATAAATCATATTTTACATGTATCATCTTTACATATCCATTTGTTTCTTACCCCAATTTTTTAGTCAACTTTGAATATTGGCGATACTTTTATCAAATTTTTGACGATCTGCCTCCAGACATTTTAGAACAAAATCAATTTATCACCTATATTTCAGTTTGTTGGTATATTACGGATATAACTCCCAGATGGAGAACTCAAATAAAATTGAGATGGGGACAGAAGGTAGGTTTTGCAGGTGGTGTGATGTCAAGTCTGCTGCTTCGAGATGATTAAAACTTGGCTCAAGGACTCGAGGAATTTTTGCCTTGTGTTTTAAATTGAGGAATTTTCAGAACTGTGAGAGAATGGGGAAGAAAGATACTGGATCATCATGTGCCCTTGAGGGAGGCAGAGATCCAACAGTACATTATTCATTTGAAGATAAAGCAATGAGAGAGGGACAACTCCATCATAATCCATTTGAAGACACAGCTAAATCTGAAACGTATTAGTAATATGAAGAAAAAGTAACGAGAGCACATGATCTGCAGTTCAGATCAAATCGTTTCGTGCAAATTGCCCAAGAAAACGATGATATATTCCAATTCAATTCAATCGCTTTACAAAGTTGATGACACAACAGAATGCAAAGGGGAAAGAGAGAGCTGGATGCTTCTGTCTCTGAGCATGAGAATTGTTACCTCAAAAAGAGATGACAAAACATTAATATAATAAGCACATGGGCATCCAGGAACTGTGTTCATGCATGGTCTAATCCCAGGATCGTGCTGCTTTTGAATGTGGAAACTCCTCTCAGCACGGGTACAAAAGTGGATTGATGCCAATCTATTCAAAAGCATATCGGAACTTAGCCACAAAGACGTGTAGAGCAGTGGATTTCCTGCCCGGTCTCCTTTATCAGACTTCAGAATTTCTTCTTCTTTTTCTTTGATTTTGAAGCTTTCACGACTTTCATGCCCTGCAAGCCAGAATATATCTTTGAAAAATTTGTCACACAAAAACAGCAGTCAGCTCATCTATAGGAGAGCTGTGCTGACTGGATATGAGGGATACCTTATGTTTCTTCTTTCGTTTTTTCTTTTTCTTTCCTTTTCGCTCCTCACCTTCTTCTGCAATTGGGTTCATCCCTTTGGACTTTCCAGACTCCTAGAAGGGAAAGACTTCATGGATTGAAGATCCCATTGCAGTTCACATATAACAAAAGAAAAAAATAGAAAAAAAACGAAAAGGAGGCAGAAAAAAATAAATTCCCTGTTTACCTCAGTTGAGTCACTGAAGGAAGAAACATGTCGGATAGAAGATCCACCTGAAAATGCATCGGAAAAATCAAAAGATATCAATAATTCGATATAAGGCTCTCTATAGAAATTCTTTTATCAGACCATGGAGAACGGTGAACTTAGTCAAATAAAATAGATAATAGCTTTACAGATATATACTTTGTTGTTCAAAATAAGCTACCTTGGTAGGAACAAGAAAATCATAACTTCATCTTTAGTTTCTTAAAGGGCAACATTTGAAGAAAGAACATGATAAGATCTCATACAGAACATAACTAATTAAAAATTTACAAATAGTATAGATTGAAAAGGAAATACAAAAAACACCACACTTTCAATATCTTGGGTCGATAATTCAAGAAAATGGAGAGATTGAGGAAGATGTCACACACAAAATTAGAACTGGGTGGGCGAAGTGGAGATGTGCAACTGGAATTTATGTGATCGCCGAATACCAATGAAGCTGAAGGGTAAGTTCTATACGACAATTGTGAGAGCAGCTTTGCTCAATGGGGCGGACAAAAAACAATAATACCCATAGAATGAGTATAGCGGGGATGAGGATGTTGAGATGGATTAGTGGCAAGACAAGAAAGGGAAAGTGTGGCACCAATAGGCGATAAGATGAGAGAGGTGGGCTGGCCATGTATGGTGCCGACCAAGTATAACACATGTTAGGAGGTGCGAGTTAGTTCAAGTAGAAGGATTGAAAAGGGCAAGGGGTAGGGGTAGGGCCAAAAGGATATGGTAGGGTATGGCCTTTAATAGAATAGAATGGTGGACCAGCATTCATATAGCCGACCCAATTAATTGGGAAAAGGCCATGATGATGATAAATTGAAAAGGAAGCAAACTTTGTTCACACCCTAAGGTCAGGATGAGGCAGTTAAGACCTAGGATTACTCTTTAAAAATTTCTGAGTTGCATGTTATCAATCTAAGAATACAAAAACGTGCGAACCTAATTCACCCAATAATGCCAATTAAAATTTAACACTTATGATCGAAGGAATAAAACTACCAAAGTTACACATAAGTAGATAGGAAAGACAACACTCAAGATGATAACTCTTATCACAAATTCACAATCCTAGTTAAAAGAACCTTGTACTAGCACTTGCAAGGAAATTCATCAATATGCAAAGAGAGGTTCGGTTGCTCATTGATACGCAAAGTTCAGTGCACAAAGGTCCACGTGGGAGAGGGTCAGTATCAATAGGAGAACTTTTTGACATAGGAAAAATGAGCAAGACTAGATCTGTTAGTCCTATCATTTCCTTCTCTTTGCCCTTACCATCCTTATTGGCACCCGTCCCACCCCTTGAAACTTCTCTCCATTTAAGAAGTCAGCAAATAACTCCAATTCCTTATAGGTCCCCAACCACATGCAAAGAGATCTTCCTGTCTCCAAGAATTTCTCTTTACCCCTACAACCTTTGTTCCTGTTTGACAGCCTAGATTGACTATTAGAACCTTGTTTGGAGGATGGAACAAACAGTAGGCAATCTAATCTATACAAACAAACGACAGAAAGATCTACAGATCCCCTATTCTCTTCACTAAAACTTGAGAATCCATGGCTCATGATTCTACCTCAACAATCAAGACACAGGGCAAGACACAAGATATCATATTTCATGGTAGTATCCACAATATATCTCCCAAATTCATGCTAGTTTGAGCAAAGGTGAAGAGAAGTGAAGTATCGCTTTCTTTTCAGAGACAGAGCTAAGGATCATTTCAGTTTTTCGTAAGAACTACATAATATGAAAGCTGCAAAGACAGATCAAAATAAAGAGAACAAAACCAAGTCACCATCATTTTTTAAATTGAAATACAGACAGTTGTCTTTAAGCGGGAAACAAAGAGATGAAGGGAATGAGCCATTACTCGCTCTTAGAGTATCCTTTGCATTTTTCACAGCCACCTCAAGAATATGGGGATTTATGGAATCCAATCCACCTGGATCTTGGAGTTTCCTTTCCAGAAACTTGGCCAAAGCAGCAGCCTTGTTTGTGGCTACAGGACCCCCTGGATGCGCCAACCTTCACAGACCAAAAAGAACGACACAAATTAACATATAATTGAAATGGTCATTGTTGTCTTGTTCTTTTATGTAACTGATTTGCATTCTCAATTGTACAGATAAAAAGTTGAGGCCTCGAGATAAAAAATCACAAGTAAATCAATGAAATGCAAATGTAAATACTCTAGAGAAAAGATTATTCTCCAGGCAAAGAAAACATAAGGTCAAAAAATTTACCAAATATACAGTGCAGAAGTTCTATATTGAATTTGAAAAGTAATGCTCTCAATAAACAAACAAAGATATTACAAAAACCAAGTTCCATCATGGCACACCACGTAGTGGCAGAGAGACCCATATCATCAGGCTTTCCATTTAAACTAGCAAAATAAGATGCAAAGCCATTTCCCACAATGCACATGAAGGAAAGCATTCAAACATAAACAAACTCTTTCATTTCTGTAATGAACCTACCCAACCTTTGCACGGGTTATCTACCAAAGAGAAGAAGAAGAAGAAAGAAAGAAAGAAAGAAAGAAAGAAAGAAAGAAAGAAAGAAAGAAAGAAAGAAAATATCTAGGGAATGGGGTCCTTACCCTGCAAGCAAATAAACCCATTATGCAACCTATTACGTTAAAAAATTACTTAGCCCAACTTCTCCAGCTGAACAAAAATCCTACGATGATTTTATATATTTCTCGATACCACATATTGACTGAGGAGTAAATGGGAGTGTAACTCAAGTTCTACAAGAACAGAGCTCAAACAACTCAAGAAAGTATTGGTGTCGAGGAGATTGAGATAGCCCTGGGCATGAAACAATGACAATGTAATCATATGGGAGTATCAAAGAAATGTTCAGCTCCAATAGAATGCATGCTTAAACTTTCTCATCCCATAACTTAGCCGAATAGACATGGTAAAATATCATGACTCTGCATCAATTACTAAAAAAATTAAACACCATATGGAGTTTTTTGCAAAAAAAAAAATGGAAATACAAAAATGGGGGGTCCCCAAAAGTAGGAAAACGCCTAGTTCCCAGATGAATCCTTGAATCAGGAAACTGTGAATTAAAGGACTTGATTACAGGAAAGAATGAAAATAACAGATACCCATAAAATAGGAGATGTAAAGGGGCAAACGAGAGAGAGAATTGAAAAAAAAAACCTGGGTTGGCATTGTTGGGGGGGAGGAGGAAGAGGAGGGGCCGAGAATCGGCTGCTACGAAGGGCTCGACGCTCAGCTTCTGTGAGGGATTCCAGCTCCGCCGAGGCCGCATAGAGAGAAACGTTCTTGCTACTGCTCATACTTTCCTTTCATGCAACACCAAATATGTGAGAGATTTTAGGGCTCAGCTTGCTGGTTTAAAACCTGAACTCAGAGAGAAGACTTAAATTCCAAACTCTTAGGTTAATTTTCGACCGAAAATTTATTTATTTATTATTTTTCATTTTCATACATATAGAGATTATCAATTAGAGAGTGTTTAAAACCAAAATGACCCTATGCTTTAATTTTGTGGAAAAGTTTATATTAGGTCACAGAAAAAAGTTGTTTTAATATTGAAAAAGCCTCTAATTGAACCTCACAATATCGAGATATATTAATATGAAAAAAAAAAAAAAAGAAGATTTGAATCCCATAAATAGTGCATCTTGCAACACATTATGTAGACCGTCATTTTTTCAGATTTTCATATATTTATAGATCTACTTGTTTTTATTTATTTTTGAAATTTAAAATTTTATCATTAGATATAAAAATAAATTTTAAGTTAACCCTATAAATTTTTTTTACCAAAATTACAACTTATGATAAGATTTAGAGGTACAATTTAATTGGATTGTTGAAAGTTGCAACCTCATAAAAACCACACCCTTAGTTTTATAGTCATTTCCATACATCCTCGGGCTATGACTATTGTAAAATAAAAACGAATAACTTTTTCGCAATAAGTTTTGTAATGTCTTAGTTTTACAGCACAGAGCCCATGCCATAATAAATTACTTTTTTAGCATTTTTATAAGTTTTTATTTTTTAAAAAATACCCCCAATTGAGAACTGCAATTTTGGAGCCCGGGTTTTTGTTTTTTTTATGAAAAGATTAATTTAGAGCTTTGGGTTTTTCACAAACCCAGTTTCTTCAAAACTCCAACTTCGAAACCAGTTTTCACTTAAAAAACAGACAAGCCTGATTGGATCTCCAAGTTTTGCACTACACGTCTTTTTTATCAACAATTTTATTGCACTTTGAGGCTAGTTCGAAACTAATGTTCTCAATAAAAGAAAATTTTGGCGTGAATAAGTGGTTCATAGCTTTAGATTTCGAGCCTGTTGGTGTAGGAAAAGTCAGTTCAAAATTTAAAGTTCTGACCCGATTTCTTGATAAAAATAATACCTTCGTTTGGACTTTGGACCTTGGAGTTCCGCATTGGAGCAATTGTAGAAAAAACTTAAAAACATAAAAAAGCAATAAAAATTGGAGACATCTTTCAAATGCCTAAAAATAACGAAAGGGTGCAGTTGGCGTACCGATGCATCCCTAGGTGTAGAGGTAAGGTGCACCTTCAAATTTTATCATGATATATAATTTTGATGTAAAATGTTTTTAGGATTATCTCAAAATTTATTTTTATATTTAATTATAAAATTTTAAATTTAAAAAATTGTTAAAATCAAGTAGATCTATAAACATATGAAAATATTGAAAATGGACGGTGTGGATAATATGTTGTAAAATGTACTATTTCTGAGACTTAAAATCTTTTTATTTTTCATGGTCATATATCTCGATGTCTACTTGATCAATCAAAGGGTTTTTCAACATTAAAACTACATTTTCAGATAGATTTTTGAGGTGCATCCGTAGTTTTGCATCCTTATATAAACTTTTTCCACAACGAAATATGTGAATAGTTTCCAAAATTTCAAAGTTGATAGCTGAAAAATGTAAAATGTAGCCAAATCTCGAGAGGGACTCTCTAGCCATGTTCGCAGAACCAATCGGGTCGACCCGGCCGGTTACGCGAACCGGCTAGGCTTTTGCTGATTTTGGCCAATTAGGGTGGGTCAAGTTATGGACTCGAAAAAAAATATATAATTTTTTTAAAAAACTAAGAAATTTGTTCGTAAGAAGTTTTTTAAACATTTCTATTATTTTGAAAAAGATTGAGAAGTATTTTGGTCATAAATACTTATTTTTACATTTTTCTATTTTTGTATTATTTCTAAAATACCCCTGGGGCACAAATTAAATTTTTAAAAATCTATTTTTCACTACTTTTTTAATCTCATTTGGATGTATTTTGTCTACAATTATACTTTAAACATACTTTTCGCATTATGGGTATTCTTTTTAGATTTTTATAAATTTTGTAACCCCTTTTAGCTCGATTGGGAGCAGCCTAGTTAGGGCTGGTTGCCCGGACCCAGCCTATGGCTGGGTTCCGTTCCTAAGTCATGTTTTCTAATATTGCTCTGTGGTCATTTTAAAAAGGAAAAGTACACAATGAGACCATTTATCTTTGATACAAGGTAGTCGCAATTAATCTTGATCATTGGATGTGAAATTAGATTGCTTTATTTATTCTATTGCCCAAACTCCAACTTCAAAAGAAATTCTCTCGAACTTTGTGACACACCCATTCTATCAGATTTTGCTTTGGTTGTAAGTAATTGTGACCTCTTTGTGTCAAAGGTAAATAGTCTTATTGTATACGATCCTTTTTAAAAAACAAAATCTACCGATATGCCTATTTTCTTTGGTTAAATTTATATACCAAAACCCTCAAATTTTGGAGGTCATACCATATCTTCTACCTTGGGCGATTCTCTTTAGGGGTGGAAGATGGATCGGGTCGACCCGATTGAGTATGGGTTTGGACATGGACAATTTGACGAAATAGGTCGAGTCTGGGTCTGCTTGATCGAAACCAGACCACGGTTGGGGTCACGTCTAGTGTGAGCTTGGATCCTATAAGTCGAGTTAGGTATGAGTCAGGTCAACCGGACCCAACCTAATCTGGTATGTATGTGTAAGGTACATATAAATATACAATAACTAAGTATTGTAAAACATATTATATAATTTTTTATTTCTAGACCCAGACCAAATCCCACTCGATGGATTAGATCTGGGTCTAATCGACTTCTAGCTAACCTAGATTCAGGTCCAAGGACAATGTCGACGGGACGTGACCCGACACATTCCCAACCCTAGTTCTCTCTTCTAATTTTCAAAGCTCATCTAGACCTAATTTTAAAAAAAAGTATATAATGAGACCATTTATCTTTGGTACAAGGTGGTCACAATTTATCTTGACCATTGGATGTAAAATTTGATGGCTACATTTATTTCATTGACCAAACTCAAACTTCAAAAGAAATTTTTTAGAACTTTGTGACATACCCAAGCTATTAGATTTCACATCGGATAGTCGTAAGTAATTGTGACCTTCTTATATCAAAGGTAAATGGTCTTATTGTATACAAGCCCTAATTTTTAAAGTAAACATGCTAATGATATATGTACTTTTTTACGCTACGCTATCACATATGTTCAAAATTATATAAGTTGAATGGTGAGGTTTATATAAGGTGTCTACCTTAGAAAATAAAAGTAAGGCTGGCTTCCAAACCTTGTCGAAAAATGTAGTTTTGGTGTCGAGAACTTCTACAATAACCTCAAAATTCATTTCCACCTCTAATTATGAAATTTAAAATCAAGCATATTTATAAACACTTAAAAATTTAATAGTATACAGTCTAGATATTAAATTGCAAGTTAATATTCCAAGTCCATGTTCTTCATATCTAACATCTTGAGGTCGAGATGATCAATTGGTGAATTTTCCAGCACCGCAACAACCCTTGCTAATTGGTTTTTGAAGTGTAGCTTATTTTGATATTATAAGGTTTATACCTTATATGATCATTTCCTAACTAGAAGGCCATTTATTTATAGAAAAAGTTTATATAAGGATGCAACCTTATAATGTAGAACTACGGAAGCCCTTCAAAAATCCATCAAAAAAGGTAGTTTTAATGGTGAAAAACCCTTTGATTTGATTGATCATCTCGACATCGAGATGTATGACCATAAAAAATAAAAAGATTTTAAGTCTAAAAAATAGTGCATTT